AAGAAAACCTTTGGCGAGTGGAAGGAAGAATGGTGGATTGTTTGCAAAGAATGGAAGCTTACCATCAGGGCTGATTGTCATTATAGGTTTGTGAGATGGACCTTATAATTCCGTGGTGTTGTTTTCCTGTTATTACTTTTAATATTTTTATTCTTTTGTTTTACTAATCATATGTTGGGAGGTGCCTTGCACCTAGTTAGAAGCAGGGTAGTAGAAGATGGCAGGAGTGATGAAGTTCCCAAGTTTGTAAAAAGAAAAAAAAAAGACTGTGTGGGGTATGGTCAGTCACGATGCATTTTCAACCATTCTTTTTCACTCTCTCCAACTTATTCCAAGTTCACATTCTTCTTAAGCAAAAAATAGCCTTGCAGCACCTTAAAAAGTATATTGATTAGGGCACTTGGTTAAGATCTGGGAGATCCAGGTTCTGCCATGGAAGCTCTTGTAAAACTTACTTCTTGATCACCTATAGATGAATGTTACTCGCCATAGGCAACCCAGTGAGTGGCTCTCTGCAAGCCTCATTTAATTACATTTTATTCCTGATTGAACAAATATTCTGTATGGTGTTTATGTGATGAGAAGCTTTAATATATAGAAACATTTCTCCAAAGCAGTTCAGAATGAATGATCTGTTGCTACATTGAATTAAGGTCTGTGTCAAAACAGCATTTCTGTTGGTCAGGTATTTCCTGTACAATCTGGTCTTTCGGTCCTGGAAGTCTTTCTTACTCCAGCAGCGAGAGAAGACAAAGAAATACTGTATTGCAGAGGCTCATGGTAAGCGAGTAGAAGTGGAGCAAGTACATGGACTGTTATAGAAGCTTTGGTTCTGTGCTTGTTATATAATGACTTCTTCTTCTGATAATGTAATGCTCACATCCAGATAGGTAATTGCTTGAATGGCACATCCAAATCCCCAACGGAAACTACGCCTGACTAGTACATGTGACCAGTGTTCCCTCTAAGCTGAGTTGGTGTGAGCTGGCTCACAGTTTTTTTAGCTTCCAGCTCACACATTTTTGTCTTAGCTCAGGAAGGATGGCTCCAGAGCAAACTAATTTATGCAGTAGACAAATCGCTCGCTCACAACTTTAATGCCAGTGTCAGGTTTCGCCTGGCTAGGGACCTCCTCTGGACGGGAAGCAGATATCATTGCATTGCTATATTGCTGTAACAGTATATGTAGCAGGTTTTCTGAATTCCCAGCTTTCAGTTCTTCTGTCTCCAGCTTGCTCCTACTTCCTTGGCTTCCCTCATTGGGCTCCAGTTTGCCCCCTCTTCACCTCTCCTTCCTGGGGTGGCTGTATGGTGTTCAGATGTTTTTTCCTTTCCTTTCATTCCCTTAGAAGCTCATTGATTAACAAATTTTGAGCAGCAGAAGATTCTCATTCCTCATTTTTTGGACACAAGGGCTAAAAGGACTTAAACGGATTTTGCTATTGACAGAGTGATCTTAGGATCCCTATCACTAAGCAAAGGAGACAGTGTTTCCAGGGTGATCAGTTATAGGCTTAATATAATGATCCCTTGTATTTTCAAAAAACTACATTCAAGCAAAACAGGAAAAGATGTGTCAGTCCTATTAAGGCCACAAGGGCTATAAGGCCTATTCAGAAGTCTCCCCTGTAGATAGGGCTGCCAAGTCCCCCCGGGGGGCGGAAAAACCCCCGCCCCAGAGGCTCGTTCCCCGACGCCGGTAGAGGGAGCATTGCATGTGACTGCAGTTGTTCATGTTTGTCCATTTTGTACTTTGTATCTTCTCTTCCTCCCTTTCTTGGCTCTCCCTCTGTCAAAAAATCAGCAATGCTATATTAGAGATCATTCCTTCATAATCACATTATTGGTAGGAGCAGAAAGAACATTTGAATGCATGAAACAATAGAAGATGGAGAGAAATAAGTTTGCAAGTGAAACTCATCAGTTCAGTTTGATGAGAAGCTGTGATGAGGTGGGCAATATTGTCTTATCTGCTGTGGGCAGTATAGCACTGCAGCATTACCTCCAAGTCTCTGGAAGGTTATCCTTCTACACAGCATAAATAAAATAAAAAACACTTCCCTTATGAGCCAGAAATAGGGGAGAAAATTAAAACCCTATTAAACCAAATCCCAGGTCTCTGTGTCATGCTTGTTTAGATTTCTTCATTTTTTCATGATGGGATAGTAAGATAGTACATATGGGGGGTGGGTAACGGTTTTGAGGGGAATTTTATTTCTTTATTATTTATTAATTTCTGCTTATATTCTGCCCTTTCCGTGTCATGATGTGCTACTAGTTACAAAATAAGTGGTGTCCACTCGGGGAAGGGCTGGTTTCCCTTTTGGTATGGCTGCATCTAAAGTGCAGCAGCAATGGGACTTTCTGCAGTTTCCACGCTCCAGTCCCCCAGCAGTGGCCACCACTACCCTTCTTCTGAGCCTATAAACAAGACAGATGGCACAGCAGTTTCATATGGTAGTTAGAAAACTGGGGCCACTAGGCCGTAGACCAGACAGACCAAAATGCAGGGGTGAACCACCAGGGCTTTTGCATTTTTTAAAAAAATTGCTAGAATATCATTGCATTGCTATATTGCTGTAACAGTATATGTAGCAGGTTTTCTGAATTCCCAGCTTTCAGTTCTTCTGTCTCCAGCTTGCTCCTACTTCCTTGGCTTCCCTCATTGGGCTCCAGTTTGCCCCCTCTTCACCTCTCCTTCCTGGGGTGGCTGTATGGTGTTCAGATGGGATTACCTCATATCAGAAATATGATTAGCAATCCAACTAACATCAGTTTCTTCTCCAGAACTTTGTTTGTGGGTATCCTATTTCAGAGTGGCTAGTAAGCCATCTTTAGCACACAACAATTTTAGTCTCAGTTTGAAGGCAGAGAACCATGCTCTTGCTTCCAGGGATATTTGTCCAAATTCTGCCCGCAATACAATATTGGTGTTG